TGTAAATTCCGCCATGACAAAGACTCCCTTGAGCGAGGAAGATGTTTTGAGTGTGGGGCCGTTGGCCATCTGCAGCCGCAATGTCCATATAAGGATGGTGCAAGTTCCAATGTGGACTCAAACCCTGAGAGGAGTAGATCTAAAGGGAATTCTCCCAAAGGGGGAAAGGGCGGCAAAGGTGCGAAATGGGGAAATGCCAAAAAGGCAGAGGTAGCTGAAGGGGGAGATGAGACGGCTAATGCGGGATTGGATAAAGGTTCTGCAAGTCCCTCATCACCATCAACACCCAATCAAGTCCTTGCTGAAGCGTTGGAAGTGCTGAAATCTATGAAGCTGTCATCAGCGCAGTCAGCATCAAGCGGGGATCCCAGTGTTCGAATGTTATGTGGATCTGGATTGTTTCAGCAGGAAAGGAGAGTGGCGTTGGTGGATACGGCTGCTACGCATCTTGTGCGGACGCTTTTTCCATGGGAATGTTTACCCGACACTACTGTTATGGTGCAAAGCGCGCTTGGTGGTGTGGCAATGAGGATTACAGAGAAAGGGACGTTGATTAGGGAAGACAATGGGCCCCTGATTATCCCTCTCTGGTTGATTTTGGAGTTTGGGGCGAACCTCACGGTGATCAATGGGATGTGTCACGTGGGTGCAAAATCTTCGCTGGACCAGCTCTTGTGGTTTGAACATGGCTGTTTGGTTATGGATTACAAAACAGCTGAAAAAGTGGTTTTGCATGCTGAAAGGCAGCGTGCGTCTTGGTCCCATTCTCAATGGAGGAATGGAAGGGCGGACTGTGGAGTCGGTTCGTCGGATGCCACGTTGTTACCGAAGCAGGGAGAAGGCCGAGGAGTATGCGTTCTACATGTGGCCAGGGTTTCTGACACCAATGAGTGTTCGGGAATGGGCATGTTGGACTCGGGAGCATCACATCCTCTCAGATCACTTCGTCCTGGAGAACAGCTTCCGCAGCAAAAGGTGTTGGTGTCTTTAGCTGTTGGATCTCGGGAGATGTGTATTACCCCAGGTGGGACCCTGGTAACTCCTGAAATGGTAGATCCACTAGTGCCAATTGGCAAAGCGAGCGCCTTGGTTGGTCTCAGAGTTCAGTGGCGTGGTGGCAAGTGCACAGCCTCACATCCTGTTCTGGGGGAACTTCGCGTTCGTGATCTGAATGGGTGCCCTTGTTTGGAAAAGGAGGTGGCGCTTCAGATCATTGATGAAATGGATTGGTGCTCCCCAAAGCAAGCTTTGAAGGTGGCACGTATGGTTCAAGGGTGTCCGAATACGGACAACGAGGTGGCTGTAAAAACGTCGTTGCAAAGCGCAGCGCGGACAGCGTCAGCGAATGAGGAGGAGTTCGTCCAGGCATGCTGGAGATTTCTTCGGTGGTATTATGGGGATATACCAGAAAATATGCTGATGGAGCTGTTGCCACGTGGAGATATTGCAGCGTTGCCTTTCAACCGTCATAAAAGGAGACGGCTGGCACGAGCAAAAAGGGTGGTGGTACACCTATTTTCGGGAAAACAAAAATGGCATTTTCCCAGTCGGGATGTGGAGGTACTGGAGCTGGATTTGACAAAAGGCGGTGACCTACATAATTCGAGCGTCTGGAAGTATCTTCTGCATCTGGCGGCTGAAGGAAAGGTGGTTGCTGTGGTGGGAGGACCTCCATGCAGGACAGTGTCAAGGTTGAGAGGTGAAGACGGTGGTCCACCTGTATTACGCCGACGCTGTGGGCCTGAACGGTTGGGGTTAAAAAGTCTTCCTTGGCCACATCAAGAATTAGCTCAAAAGGATGGTGTTTTACTTCTGAAGATGCTTTTCCTATATGACGTGGCGGTGCATTCAAGGTGTGGAACTGCTGAAGTCATCAATGGAAGTTCTGTCTTCTTTGGCATGGAAAGCCCTGGGGACCCTGAACTCATAGGGAAAGATTTCTCTCAGAACGGCAAAACGGTCTTGAGTGCTGAGGATCTGGTGGATGGTTCTCAGGAAGGGCTCTCAAGTCCTACCTTCTGGAGTTGGCCAGAGGTGAAAAGCTTTTGTGAGCGTTATGGAATGTACGCTGCACACTTTGATCAAGGAGCGTTGGGACATGCTCTGGTGAAACCTACGACTTTCCTGGTGTCTGATATGGAACTATGGGAATCGTTAGAACAAGTTCGCGTGGTTGTTCCGTGGTCAGCAACATTCGCTTCTACCCTGGAAGAGCGTATGGGACAATCCTCTATATGGGCGCGATGGGCGTTTGGATTGGTTAAAAGAATACGTCACAGGTTGGCACAATGGTTGCATGAGAGCGATGCTGAACGGGAAGCTGCGGTGTTACAAAAAGAAGAACGAGAAGGGACGTTACGGAGGTTGACGACTGAGGAGCGAGCTTTCCGTGACCATTGCCTAAGGGGGCATATTCCCTTCAGACGTGATTGTCAAATCTGTGTGTCTGCTGCTGGAAAAGAGCGT